ATTTGGTTAAGCGATAGTCCCGTTTTCTCCTCAAAATGTGTGATGGCAGAACCCGCGTAAATGTACGTTTCTCCCCTATCTGGCAGTGGAAGCGTATTGTTATGGGCTGCAATAGCCTAAAACTAAAGAACAAATTTCGCTTAAAGCGTTTCCAAAATAATTTAACGATTCAATGTTATAGAGATGACTTTTTGCAGCCACATATGCTTCATTATATATATCAGCATGACAATGCCCAATACGACAAGGCTAACTATTAATTTACTAAATCAGATCAACATTTATGTATATTTGCAGTGTCCCTCAAAGTCAGCAAAGTCAGCAAAGTCAGCAGATTTGAACACGTCTAAAAACGCCCGGGGCATTGCAACTACTCATTGAAGCTATGCAACATGAATTGCAAAAATATCACAGGTCCGAATACAAAAATGGATTTGATTCACGACACGGAGATGCAAAAATGTGTCAGCCGTACATAGTGGTGGTGATAGAGACTTAGTTAAACTCCACCGGAATTTGACCCAATTTATTGTACGTGCCTCCAGTTTACGAGGACATCTTCCGCTCAGCATGAACTACGGAGGTATTAGAGAATACTTGCTCGAACGTCGCCCAGTATGAAAAGATTTGAAACAGACTTCATTAAGGACATGGTGTCGTCTATAAAAACAGGTGTCCCTTTATCGCCAGACATGACAATTACCTGGAATATGACACATTCAGATCATCAAACTAATGACAATAGTAATAATCATCAAACACGACCGTATACAATTCTACTACAAGCCATTTTGGACTTTAATGACTCTGAACAACACTGTTTCATTTCTAATTGTAAAACCAAACATTGCAACACCTGTGAAATTTAATAACAGATGCTCAATTTCCTAAAATTTAACTAAAAAAATCTTACTACTAGTATACCAGGAGTTACGATGACCTCAATTGTGAATCAACAAATCTTGTGTACGTATATGTTTGTAACCTTTGCGGATTGGTATTTGTCGGTGAAAGGAAAGAGAGGCTTAATAACTGTATGTGCAGCCATAGGTCATACATTAACAGCAATGCAAATTGCATTGTTGACCAGCATTTTAATCAGTCTGATCATTCAATCCTTTCTATATGGGTACGCATCATCGAAACCATAGGACTTAAATCCTCATCTTGCAACAACCCTCCGTATACAAAAGGAGGACTACTGGTTTGGAAAATTGAGATGAGGGACACTATACGGACGCAATGATACAATTGATGGTATAAGTATCATATCTGGTCATTCCCGTATCTAGGTGAATGTTATATAGATTTTCAACTCTGTTCCTCGACGTAGACGCAGGCATGGTCATCGTCATAATAAATCAACTACTTTCATGATAATTCTATTAATGACCTTTTGCAATTTATACTGAAGCTGTTAGGTATTCATGAAGTCAGCACGAAGCTTTATTCACTCCCCCTTTCAAAACTACATTGTCTGTACAGCTTATGTCTGGAAACCACTGTTACAAATCCCCATTCAAACCTGTATAAACTTACAACTATCATTTCGGGTATTGCTAGTACCAAACCAATTGCGTATAAAAGTTTAATTACACAAACACGTGTTGCAGTGTCTTCTAGGTCCCGCTGGCGACGCAGCTACTAGTGACCTTAACATTGCCGATAGCACTCCTCTGCGAAATATGTTATCCAAAGTCCCGAAATATCGTGAGCCTAAATCCATCAACTGGAAAAACAACTTTAAATACGGATGGATTCGGCCTAGGATTATGCCAGACAATGGGCTAAACGCGAAAAAAGAAGACGTGGATACTCTTTTCGAATGTGTTAAAGCTGTGAGGTCGTTGAACAAATTATGATAATGTGAACTAAATACATATACTCTAAAACTCCCAAGATCTGTTTAACGTACATATAATCTAAGTATCTTTCCTCATGCAACAGTATAAAACATTTTCTATCCTTTTCACAAGTATTCACCATTCCAAACTAAAAGATAAATTGAAAGAAATTGTCTTACTTTTTTTTAGAATAAAAAACTGGCCGACGTTGAAACAAATATTTGTTTGAAGGAGGGACGAATCATACTTTGTAAAAAAAACTACTATGATTATAAACAAAAAATATTCTTAAACATGATTCTTGATATTTTAATTGACAACCCATTTGTTACGTTTGGAGGACGTGTTTTTCAACAACATCGGCATTCCCATGGATACAAACTACGCTCCTTTTCTTGCCAACGCTCCTTTATTGATATGAACAGATTTCATACATGAGCTTCTTATGAAGATTGAAAAGCAGCTAGCATTATCCTTTAGCTTCACGTTCCCCTATATAAATGATGTGCTCTCAGTAAATAAACTATCGAACTTGAAATAAAGGATAAATCAGATACAATTACATCTGCTTTATATCTTGACTTAGATCTAGACATTGATAACGAGGGTCGATTGAGAATAAAACTTTACGACAAAAAAGTAAAAAAGTAAGATGATTTCAGTCTCCTAATTGTGAACTTTCCTTTTCTATGTAGCATCATTCCAGCAGCGCCGGCCTGCATTTGGAGTATATATGTTTCTCAGTTGATACGATATTCCAGAACTTGCACTTTCTATCACGATATTTCCTTGGTAGAAATTGCTGCTTACAAATAAGCTTTTAAACCAAGGGCACCAAGTGCTGAAGTTGAAGTCATCCATTCTAAAATTTTACGGACAACATCACGAGTTGGTTGACCGTTATGGAATATCTGTTTCACACATGACGACGGATAAGTTCCAATTGTTGTAACCATAATACCGTCCTCTTTTCATCGAATGTGACATCAACGAATTATACTTATCTCCGAATGTGTACTAACATGAGCAACACGACGGATGCCACATTCAGAGCAGGATCTGCTTATCTTTCCAGAGCATCTGAGATCGCTCCTATCTTTTTAAAGGTTCGCGTTGCTCTTGATTTAGTTTAAAGTTTTGTTCTTTATGCCCTTTAATTTTTCAGTGTTCGTGTTGTTTGTACAGGTAATACTGTCTTTTTTCAAGAAGAACGTTCTTCATTTTCACAATTTTAAATTCAGTCAAGTTTCAGGGTTCTAAAATTTACATGACCGATGATTTACGAATTTAGTGATACCTTAGGGTTAGATAAGAGTCAATACAATTCGCTATTGCGCTAAACCTAATTTTTTATATAACTAACGTATTCTATAGGAGTAACACGACGGGTGTCACATGTGACCAGGATCTGCTTACACTTTTGGGACACCTGATATCATCTTCGGTTTTTGTGGGGTTCGTCTTGCTCAGTCTTTAGTTTATATGTTCTTTTTTCTAGAATGTTGGTTTTTTTTTTTTGGTTTTTTTTTGTGTGTTTTTGTCGTTTTTTGTTTTTTCCCATGGTATCATCAGTTGGTCTTCGACTTATGAGTTTGACTATCCCTTTCGTATCTTCCGCCTCTCTTATCTTTGTTCAGTGTCCTGCATAACATGTGTGTGTGTGTGTGCAATATTAGCTCAATACAAAATATACAACATGCATTGCTGTCAAAATCGGTTTGAAGTATACAGAGTTGTTTTTTTTCTTTTTTAAAAACATTATGCGTTTCTTATTTTTCAGAGTATAGTGTATTTCAACACTATGCCAATATAAAGAATTTTTGTTATCAAATAACATTCTATCAGAAGTATACTAACGAAAATGTACATTTTGTCACAATGACTTCATGACCCAGGAAAAAAAACTCGTAAAATTTTCTGGTTGTACCTTTTCACTTTTATAATCAGGTTTAGTTTAAGAACAGTCTTCAATCAACGAATAATAAAACGTTACATTTTGATGAACCTTTAACAGTTATTTTCCTCTTTAAAAATTCTTCAAACAGGTCATTTTTTTTGGTAATTTACCTTGATCCAGACTTCATTTTCAATGTACAAACCAAGACATATCGTGTCTATGGCAAATAAAGAGGTATCTAACAAATACGCTAAAAATGTCAAAAAACAACTCTTGCTTGAGTAAAAGACGAAAAATGTGAAAACTTAACACAAAATTGATACCACTTACAAAATACAATGTTTTTATACAGATATCCGTAGCTTCATTTTGTGACACGTTAACAAAGAAGGTGTTAAAAATAACGGTTTAATGGCCCAAATAGTGTTACATCAAAGTGGGTTCGTCTTCATAACTCACAATAACATTATATCATCAAGTACCCTTTTTATAGTTTCTGTGTGATTTTGTACAGGAACATATTTATACATAAAATGAAGTTTTGACGTTAACTAGCGAATGAAATGTTGATTTACGTCAATTTGTGCTGAAAAATCTATACTTTCGATCTCAAAATTCACAAAACGTATATGTTTTAACATCATTATTTAGATTAAGAGCTTTTATCGGATGTAATGTCGTGACTTCATTTAATTATTCGTTTATAATTCCGACTTAAGTTTCAATTCTACAGATTTTCAGGACTCTGCGTAATAAAAAACAGTAACAAATTAGACCTTTAATGGTACTTGTATGGAATAACTCTTATAAAAAATATCATTGACTAAAAGGAACATGTTATAATTATTTCGGGGAATGCAGTTGAATGACTGGACGTCTTAACTTAGGTATATCGCCTTTGATACGTAATATTTAATTTATCATACCAATTAATAGCGACATTGTACATGATTATTCACCTGGAGATAAACACTAGCGTAGGAAGGATAAACGACAAAGCAGCTGAATTCTCTCTATTGGTAATTGGATTTTATCAAACTATACGTTATTTTGTTTAGCATTGTAGATATCTTGAAAAGTTAAACTAATTCATTTCAAATCTGTGTTTCAGAAAAAAGGATTGACAAGATAACAAACGTTCATGTTATGTTTTAAAGTTAAAAGGAATAAAGCATTTCAACATGAAATCGATAAAGGCTCATTTCGGATTGCACGAATCACGGAACGTTACGATATGTGTTCCTCACTTGTTTCCGCCAATGGCCGACATAATTTACGGATACATAATACCATCTTTAGCTATAATTACAATTTGTGCTAATTCCTTAGCCATTCTGGTTTTTGTCACAACAAACCGCAAATCACCGACTAATATTGTTCTGACAGTGCTTGCGTTTTCGAATATTTTTTCAATCGGATCGATAAGTCCGATGTTTTTCTTTGTTTATGGGATAAAAAAGGCGGATTTTATATACGGATGTGCATTTAGTGTGTACCATGATTCAGCATACTATGTTACATCTAAGTTTCATTGTTTTTCAATTTGGCTTACAGTCTTGCTTGGAGTAGAGAGGTACATTGTTGTTGCTTTTCCGATGATTGGACCGCGATTCTGCAACCGGAGAAATACAACTGTGACTGTAATTGTCATGTTCATTTCGTCTTTTCTAGTTATGATTCTTCCTAATATGTGGAGTAAACACTATATGTCAGCAAGATTTAATATCTCTTCTACTGATTTACCTCATCTACAAACACCTGAAGGGAACTCGAGCATTGGTAACAACATAATCGGTGTGGATGTATGCGAATGTACATACGAACCCTTCGATTTCGAGTACAATAAACTTTATAACTGGCTGAGAAACATTCTTGGGACAACCGTACCGTGCTTGATATTGCTAGTAACAACAATACTTCTTATAAACGAACTGAGAATAAATAACCGTAATATACAAGAACTTCATTTTGACCAGCATATCAAAGAGAGACGGGAGCAAAAACATATGTCAAGAGCATCGAAACTTATCATAGTTATAACTGTGTTTTTCTTGCTTACCGAGCTTCCGAATGCATTTTTCTTCACTTGGATAATTTTAGAACCTCATGCGTATGACTCTGCTCTTGACTCCGAAGCTCGATTTACATCCGCCATTATATGTAATTTATTTGTTTATATTGCATGTACCGCAAATTTCTTTATTCTATTACTGATGAGTCATTATTTCAGGGATAAATTGAAATATTTCGTGTGTCTTTATTGGTTGCGAAAACCATCAACATACAATCGACCTCAGTATAATTATAGTTACTCTTCAAAGTGTTCAAGAACTATTTGAAATGAGACAATATCTGGCCAGGAAAAAGCTTCTAAATTATAGTTTTCCTGTTGTGAAGTTCTTTCTCCCCTGTGAGAAAAGGAGATTTCAAGTTTATTTTTTACTGTATAAATGCTATGCATAACTATATTATATACATGTCAGATCAGATGGTGATACATTTTTCTGAGGTGACACTCTCACAAATACTTATATATTTTGGATAAAAATGAAGGATATTGTATGAAATGATCAGGAACGATAACCCGGTGAATTTTTATATAAAGTAGTATTACTATAAATGTTTGTAACATAACATCCAAACTATCGAACTTGATCACTTCACTTCTAGCAGTGGTCTTGTTTTAAATATACATTTATTCAGTCTAGCTATTTCAAATGTCCATTTCACCATATTCTACTGTTAATTTGTCATAGATGGTCTTTATGCTACTTTGGTTGTATTTGTTCTAGCGCTAGTGTATTGTCGGTCAACGGATGACAATATTTGTAAGAAGAAAACGCCATGTATTTATTTATTTATTTATTTGTATAGTTCATTGACGTTCAAGAAAACAAATCAACATGAATACCTTTTAGCTGTCTGAGTCTTGAGTGTGAGGTATAATAGGGGTTAAGTTTGTTATATCACTTTTAAAAACTCTTCCCGCAACTGTCAAGTTTAAGAACCGGATCAAAGGGTCGATCTTTTATTAGATAGTTATTTCGATCTTTTATTAGATGGTTAATTCACACTTTAAGTCATCTGGCTTACTGACAATGCAAGAATAAATACAATTCTATTACAATGAATTTTTAAAGTATTTGCAATTTACTCTAAGAGATTATATCGTAAATAAAGATTGGTTTCCTAACTACCTTAATTTAAAAAAAAAACAACCCTGCTAATTTGAAACACTGACGAATGATATGTTTAAACAAAAAATGTATATGCAGATTTGTTTTGCAGAAAATAGTTGAGAAAAAAAACACTACGATTTATTGTTTCCCCTCGTGTATAAAATAAGTTTTCAGATTTACAAATTATAACTATGGAACAAACAAAGTTTAAAAAAAACCTAAGTGTACTCTTTATCGCTGATGTGTAGATTTCTCCTGATGAAACTATTCATTTAGCAACTGTTACTGTTTTTCAAAAGGTTGAAATCAATGTTTGTTATCATTACATTATCAATAGCATAGGAATCTAATAAATTAGCACGATTAAAACGTATGTGCCATTTCGAGTTTATGTTAAACATGTATAGTTATTTTTGATATAAAAACACAATTTACTTTTGAAAAAAATAAAAGAAAACAACACGTTATAAATTTCATGCGTTCGAAGCGCTTTTCTGAATTAACCTTCATCCGGAACGCTCAAAGCCTAAAATTTGAAAGCCAAGGATGTATGAGAACCAAAACAGTTGAAGAGCTATATGACCAAAAAGTTTGAAACGTTGAAACGTACATATAAATGAGTGTAATAACAACTGTAATCTCATCGTCCACAAAACGTACATATAAATGAGTGTAATAACAACTGTAATCTCATCGTCCACAAAACGTACATATAAATGAGTGTAATAACAACTGTAATCTCATCGTCCACAAAACGTACATATAAATGAGTGTAATAACAACTGTAATCTCACCGTCCACAAAACGTACATATAAATGAGTGTAATAACAACTGTAATCTCATCGTCCACAAAACGTACATATAAATGAGTGTAATAACAACTGTAATCTCATCGTCCACAAAACGTACATATAAATGAGTGTGATAACAACTGTAATCTCATCGTCCACAATTGTTGTCTCATGCTGACATTGGAATTCACCTTTTATCATACAATCACACATTTTGCTATAGTTACATATACAGATGTAGAAAACATGAAATATTCCTTCGGTTTATATCATCTATGTTATTCTGTTACTATTTGAGCAAACGGAGATACTAAAAGTACTTTTTACGTCACATTTCATTTTGGGGTGCTTTTGGCGGCCCCGTTTAAATAAGGCGATTCTGGAATTAAAAATTTGAACATTTATATGGACAGTCTAAAAATTGTAGAATAAAATCAGTGTGGAAAAACGAAGATTATTTGTACAAGCAAGTCGTACAATAATATTTGAAACATGTTTGCTAAGTATAAATAGTTATTTCAATAGTGACCATAATTGATTGATATAGTCTTTGAAAGTTAATCCGATAACACATTCGTCCGACCAACCTCTAAAAATCTGGAGATGTGGTATGATTGCCAATGAGACAACAATTCAACAGAGTTCAAGTGAAGTGGTAGTAAGCAATTACAGGCCACCTACCAACTATAAAAGGCCCCGGCTTAAAAAAATGTGAAACAATTTAAACGAGAAAACTAACGGCCTAATTTATAACAAAACGATTCATGAAAGATATGAACCAACGAATATCAATGTACCACAGGCTCCTGACTTGGTACAGGCATATAGTTGGCCGGAAAGTACGTACTTAAATAGTACAAAAGGGCAAAACATCGGAGAAAATGACTACCGATAGATGTTCAATATAAAACAGTTACAGAAAATACAAAAAATATTTGGAAGAAGTAGAAACAGTGCTTATTCAAATGAGCTATAGTTATTTACCTATATCCGAATGGGGTACGTATAGGTAACATTAGCGACTTAGTGAACCAGTCGCTAATTAACTTAGTGAACCAGTCGCTAATTAACTTAGTGAACCAGTCGCTAATTAACTTACCGAGGTATATAAACTGATAATGATTAATAGAAAACATAAGTAAATAGGATTAAAAATTTTTATCTAACGAGCAGTTGAGACGGAAGCCATCATCAAGACGAGGTGAGAAAGAAACTCGATATGCGTTGTCAAATATGGGAACTTTCCATATTTAAGTCAAATTAAACAATTCTAACAATTGTTATACGTTCGATAAGAAATTTTACGTGATTTATTGAAAACTATTAACAAACAAAGGAATGCAAATGACGTATTTTCTAGGAGTCTATAGATGTAAGAAGATGTGGTACGAGTGCCAATGAGACAACTCTCCATCCAAATAACGTATATTCTAGGAGTCTGACTAACATCCAAGATTTGCAATTTTATTAAAATAACCTGATGAGAAAGAAAACAGAAAAAAATTGTATTAAACAAAAAACTGTTCAGCCGTCTTCGCATACGTTTTAGTTTCTTTTTTTTTTTAATTCTATTTTAACGTCTATTGCAGACCCTGTCTGTTTCAGTTAAAAATATATAATTAGTATGCTAAGGTAATTCGGAAAGATATATCATCTTATCAAAGATACTTGATAAGGGTGTGGATCCAAACTTGTTTTTGTTTAAAATGCAGTGAAACATTCGACACGGTATACAAGCTAGTTATTTTTTATAATAAAACTGCCTTGGTGTGTAGCAGTGATCGATACAGATCAGGGTTCCCCCTTTTTCTTACATTTATATTTAAAAAATATTTATTGGAATCCTTTTTTAAAAGTGCTAGATCCTCTCCTGAGAAGTGTGGAATATATTATTTTAGATACAGCTATGCGATAACAAACACCATATAATAAAAGAGTATTTGTGGATTCTGAGTAGGTACCTTCTAATATATATAGCCTCTAGTGGTATTCTTATTCAGTGACGGTAAACGTGTTGACTTTCCTACACGTTACTCGTCTATTTGAATTAAGACTGACATTTACAAAAACACTCTACTTCAATTATCTTGTTCACGTGCTATAGTTGTAAATTAACTGCTTATTTGTGTAGTTTTATTGGGCTTAAAAGCTTTAACAGAAGTACATTTTGTATGAAGCGCTTCCTTAAGAATGTGTAAAACTACAGATAAAAACGCAATCCTTCTATTCTTAAGATAACAATTTAATGTTAAAACCATTTTATTACGAGTTAAGAATAAGATTTTGTTTTGTTTTGTTTTAATTATTCCTACGTTTTATTGTAATGTTGTCATGAATCTAGCATGTGCAGTCATGGATGAAATACAACAGCAGTTTAAAATACCACGTGATTTTTGCCTGCCAATAACTATGATTGGATAATTATAGTGGACTGACAAATCAAGAAAAAGTCGCTTATTTTAAGAGTTTAATGGACCGACATACCTCAAGGCTGAAAATCCTCATGATGATAGAGTATACATTATACTATCATTTTAGCCCTGTCGTAGAGTTTTCTCACGGTGCAGTTTTTTGTAAAATCGCGGTAAAGCGTGATTTTTCGATTTTTTTCTTTTTCATTATCAAACACGGGAACGCTTATAATTGATTACTGAATGAAGATATCAGCAAATATTTGCTATAAAATGAAAGAATAATGTATCAGCTTTCATGAAATATCAAAATTAAATATCATTTGAAAATGCACATTGAGTGAATTTGAAGAATTTCAATTGCATGTGACATTTTTTTCAATCTTACCGTCTGTCAAAGTATAATAAATTTCTTGCACATATCAACCGTAGTCGATTTTGACAAAAAATAGTGGAACAACCAATACTTTAGATGTTTTAATATATCAAAGTTTGATACAACATATAAATCAACTTTTACAAGCCTTTTTTCTTAAGATACTCATCATATAGCAGTTTTATTATTCAATATTCACCTCAATAAGTCATGTAACGCTCCCTTTTCCTATTTTCCCCCGACTTATAATTTGCTGTGATTTTCATAATGAATTAAATATGCATTTTCTTCATTTTTGTAAATAAGAATATAGATTTGTATCAATGTTTGTGTTTAGGTGTTTGAATAAGTACAGATGTTAAGGTTTAATAACTTGTGAAGTGTTTTTATTCTTTTTGAGTTTTTCGAATAGACTAATTTTAAACCACATTGGAACGCATCCGAATAAAACAAGTAGAATACATTTTGATAAATTTAAATTAAGGAAAAACCAATGCGTGTAATGATGAATCAACTTTCGTTAGCATTACCATTAGACTGATCCAAATGTTTATTCTGCAGACAAAAGTCATACAACGAGCCAAGCAATTAAGGCATGTCGAGTCATTTGAGCGTGCTGCCGATTATGTTTTTAATGACGCAAATTACCAGGCAGGCTATCCAGTGGTGAGTTCACTCTCCTTAGATAACTTCAAGGACAAGGCGCTGTATCATTCAACATGCATTGTTAACTACTGGATGAAATGAAAAAATAATTTGCTTCTGATGCTTCAAATCAGCCGGAGCATGATGTTGCTTTCAAAAACTAATAGAAAGTCTACATGATGATCTGTTTGTGAAAAAAAGCAATTTTGTTGTCGTATAGTTTGCTAGTTACATATTGTTCCTTTCTTCTAGATCCTTCATGATGCAGAAAAAATTGTGAAAAGCAGTTTACGATCGTTCGAAATTTCAAATTATTTCTATCTATTTCCGTCAAAATTTAGTATTCCATAGCTTTACAATTTTTTCCTACATCTCTGATAAATATTTTGTCTGGTTAGTAGATGACAATTATTTTCATATGGATAATGATTACAATGCACTCTCATGTGATACTGTACGGAAATGTATACGTTTAGCTGAATGTGTGGTATCCCTGTATTAAAAACCAGTACACCCCTGATCAGAGATGGTATGGGTATTGTACAAAGTCTTTATGTAAAAAGGTACAACAGTTATTGATATTTGGCCAAGGACGCTTTTAAAACCCTAACAGCTTTTTTTTTGAAAACTTCGGGTGTGTCGTAGACGTGTTTGGTCGATATGATGTGGAACATTCTACAAAATCAGCAGGAAGAATAAAGAGTTAAATTGAGAATGGAATGCTTCAAAGAGA